CACTGCTTCTTACACCCTCATGCCCTTCACAAATGGATTAAAAACCAAGCACACAGTCTAGAGGGGCAGCATGAGAAGGCAAGGGAAATCGGCAGACTAAGAATTGAAACATAACACAAATGTGCCCAACGAGACCTACACAAACATTTCTAAGCCCTTGAGCAGAACATTTATCAAGATGATATGATAAGATCATGAAAAACCTTATCTGGAGACCTTTCTTTTCATTAGTATCTCCTGTTATTTTAAAAATAAATCTTGGGAATAGCAGGTGTCATCTGTTTTGAAGAATAGTTAAGTAACAACAGTGAATGCCAACCCCACACAAATGCACATGTACAAACACACTCACACACGTTTCTAGTTAGAACTGTGAGAATTTTGAGTGGTCTCAATATCTTTTACTTCCCCAGTCTATTTTGTTTTGCTTTACTTGCATCATATAGATAGCTAAAGTCAACAGCAGCTTGGGGCTAATGTCCTTTCCCATGTCCAAAACATCCTATTGTCTTCTATTAGAGAGCTTCCTTTCCATTCCTTTCCAAATACTGCAGTGCCCAATTCTCAATTCCTCCATAAAGAATCACTTCAAAATTTACAGAAATGTCAGCTATGGTTATGAACTTCCCCTTCTTAAAAGCAATCTGGAAACAAGACAATGTATGAACTGTAGAGATTGCCCAGGTCCATATCTTCATTTGCCATTTATAAAAAAAAAAAAAAAAAGTGTCCTTCATTTTTTTCTTACAGAAATCCTATAAAATATGAAATTACTTGATATTTGAAATTTAAATATTGAAAAATATTAGTCATCTTCCATCATAACATCATATATAAAAGATAAGTGAAAAGAAACCAACTAGTTAGAAATTGAAGTAGAGTACACCCAGTTCTACTAATTAACAACACATTACTGTATTCAAAATATTGTGCTGATACTCAAAAATTCCAGAATCAGAGTCACTGGGTACAAGGTAACTTCTACAGTCACAATCAACTTGCATTACTAGAAAGTTCTAAAACAGATATTCTGGAAGAAGAATAAATTGCTTTCAAATAATGCTAGTGTATAGTATAGAAAGTATACTATAGTGCAGTATAGAAATGAATTTATATACTTCAAATATTCCAGAATCAGATATCTAAGTCATTTGGAGATTTATATGGGGGTAAAAAAAATCACCATTCAAAAATCTTAAACCAAAGCAAACCTCCTCAATTAAAGATTATACAACAAATGCATCAAATATAAATTGTAGGATATGATTTAAATTTTAGTTAAGGGATTAAGGAGTTTTCTTGCAGAAATCTCGTTGCTCTAGTCACATGGTATAGATAGGATGGGAGAAACAGGGAAATGGAGTTGCAGAGACAGGGAAATGAAAATAACAACACAGAGATGTGGCGATCCCAGTTACTCACAGATCATGGGGACGTTAATTCACATGCATTGCCTTGAAGGCACATACAGTTGGACACTCATAGAAAAAGTTCTCAATGCTTTATAATGTCCTGACAGTATAGGGTGACAAAGGAGATGCTACTATACAATCAAATCCCACTAAGCAAATGCCAAACTAAATTTGGCTTGAAATAAGGAAAAGAGCGCTACAAAGAGGCATTACTTAGTGGTTGTCTCAGATATCATGCGCCTCGATTCTTTTATGTTCCTATAGTCATGAAGGGTATCTTCATGTCATAAGTGGCTGACATGTGCATACACATTTGCCCAATAGTGGAAATGGCAGGTGGGATCATTGAGTTCACTGTATCCCTCTTTTTGCATAGTTTTTGCCTCAAGGAAGAAGCACCTCAAAATTTTATCAGTACAATATAGAAAATGAAGAATTTTGTGCTGATCCCACTTCTTCATGTTTTGGTAAAAAAAAAATCACCTAACAAACCACTTTCCTGATTAATTAGTGTGGCTAGCTTCCATTCTAAACACAGGGTTCAAGGGTACAAGATAAAGGCAGGGTCAGGCTAATGAAATGTGCTAAACCTTAATCAGATTTCAGTGTTCATTCATTTGCTAACTTATCTCCAGCTTGAGGAACAATAACTGTCATTCATCATCACCATCATTATCACCATCCACAGCGACAAAAACAAACATTTGTGGTTCATTGACTGAGAATATAGCGCTGTCGTTCCAACTCATCAGGAGACAATCCTTGGACACGTACTCATAACACTTCAAGTTAGACATCTGAACTCGATGTGTAGAAACTTTGATGGGGAACGTTTATCGACAGAACGTTGAGAGCTGTTGTGCTTCTGTGTGACTGTGTGAGTAGATATTCTGCTAGAGGAAGATGAATGTGTTTAGTTAGTGATTAGGGCATGAGCACGTCCCTCAAACTCCCTCTTACACATGAGAGACATAAGGTCTGCCAAACTTAAATCTTCACCCACCAAGGGCATCCTAAAGTCAGGGACTTTGGGTGAATCCAAAAGTATGACAGTGACTTATGTCTGAATCTTAAGAGGTCTAGTACATTTGAGTTCACTGGCCAGCCTTTAGTAATGATCATTCATCAGGATCATCAATAATGGCCTCCTGCATCAAGAAACATAACCACAGACATGATTCTCTACTAACCCTAATGGACACTGACGGTCTTGCCAAGCTGATTTCCTGAGAATTGTTCTTATAAGCTCCTAATGAGGCCATCTCCTGAACTGAACTCCAAATCTGGTTGAAGGTCATTTCTTATGGGCTCTAGGATGCTCACTTTAAAGACTGAATGAAATTCAACAGTTTGGGGTTCATGTGACGCACTAAACAGAAACTGAGAAGTAGCCCTATTTAAGGCAGGGTGGGTAGTACTTCTACATAGTTAGCCCACCAGCCATGGAAAAGTTTGTTCCACAAAGGGTGCCCTGGCATACCCAGAGCTCTGCAGAATCACAAGATCAAAGAGTCTGAGTTGATACACAGGCCAAATGAAGTCTACCTCATCAATGCAGCTTTAACAAAGTTGGTCACGACTGACTGGTCATCCAGGGAGGACAGGATGGAATGATCTAAAGCAGGCTTAGTGGGTAGAAAAGCAAAAGCCCCATTCATATTGACATTCTGCACCACTGTCTTTGGCTCCAGAAAATTCTAGAAATGTCTCTTTGCAGGTGCTTTGATGTTCAACTTTAGCCATGTGGAAATTACTGTATTCCCCCCCCCATTCTATTCTAGTAAATCATAATCTGTACATAATTCCTCTGGTCATTATCGGAAAACATTAATGACACAGGGATGCTGGTAAATCACACCTACCCACTTTTATTTTAAGACACCCAAATCTTCTTGCCTTTTAAAAGTGCTGAGCTGTAAGTCAAGAATAACAGCAATGTAACCCTGACCTGTCTGGTTGGCCAGCTGGTTCAGACCATGCCACTGTGGACAATCTGGGGTCACTTGGCACCTGAGGTGGGACTGGGAGGGCAGAAGGGCACAAAGGAATGTGAAGTCAATAACATTTTCTTGATTTTGCTAGTAGCTGCTGACAATGAAATGGCTCCTTGCTGAACATTTCCTCCTCTTCTCAGGGGGCATAGAGTAATTCCTGAGTGTCCCCATTCCTCACTCACATTGAATCTTCAGCTACTTACTTACTTCCCAGAATCAATCAGCTAAGAAGAGCTATTTGAATATGATTTTGTATTAAAATCCACTTTTTCATAGAATTTGTGGCTAGAGGTTTTGGGGTGGCTGAACCCAAAGCATTGGTGGGTGGGTGGCATTTGGGGTCATTCAATACCAGCCTGTTATGTTTCAAGTTTCTTTCTATTTGGTGATAGCTGCATGACACTGCCTCCTAGAAATAATCACCCCCACCCCCCAGAACCGGTCTTGACACTGCTTGGCTTCTAGGTGAGGGGCTTGATCATAGCAGGATGCTGCTGATCTCATTCCAGACCTTCTGAAGGAACAGAGTGAGATGCAGTCCCAGCGAGACTCCTCCTTTTCCTTGTAATATGGATGAAGGTGCTTTCCGGGACCCCTGTCTGCATCAGGGCACCTACTGCAGAAAAAAAACCCACTACACCACCAGGAGGGGTCGAAAGGGCAGTAAGGAGCTTGATCCAGGAGCAATCCCCTTCCAGGCTCTTCATACCTGAGCCAGCAATTTCTGTCCCCTCACCCCCCCACCTGAGAATGAGGTACCACACCAAATGAAGAGGGACATGGAACACTTTTTAATGTCAAGTCAGAGACAACCCCCCTCCCCTAGCCCCCAATCCCACTTTCCCTCATCACATCCAGGACCCCTCCCCGAGGCCTCTCTGGTTCCCAGACTTCAGGGGAGGAAAAAAGTTTACCTAAAAACTGCATTTTCTTCTCTTTCATACACACGCACACGAAGGTGGGAAATTAAATAAAATAAACCAAGAAGATTCAATTCTCCAGTGGTCCCAAAGGCATCAGAGATTCCCATAATGGGCTAAAGCAAGTGGTTACGGACTGTTTAGTTGTTTCAGTTGCTTGCTGTTTGTTAATGCCCGAGGCGTGATGGAGAAGCAGGCCGCCTGCCGTGGCCTTGGCCTCCGAGAGCCACACCTGGAAAAGATGCTGAGCCTGGTATTAGTGTTTGGCTTTTTCTTTTCACTTTGTATAAATGTCTCTGACATGTAAATAACCCAAGAAAATCAAAAGGCAGGAGCTGATTACACAATTACCAGTAAACTCTATCATCTTTTAGAAGATCAACACACAGCTAACGCCATATACAGCATGCAGTAATGTCTGAGAAAGGACCCTGCTGAGAAAGAAAATGGCTAGAACTCTAACAAAAAAAATATATGTATATATATACTGTATAATATATGTCATCAAAAGAAGCATCGCTAACAAACTCAAGATACAATGCGGCTCACCCTTCCATTTCTAAACAGCATGTAGAAGCAGCGTATTGTCTGCATTAAATACCAGAATAAGGAGAAATCTGTAGCGCTGGTGGAGATGTTGGTTAAATTGTATGTGGTTGTTTTTTTGTTTTTTGTTTTTTTTTTTTGGTGGATTTGTCAAATCCTCACCAGGTGGTTAATGCCCGGCGCACGGTCCACCAGTTGTAAACCTAGTTAAGAAATACTCTACTCGTTTTTAATAGTGAACAAACATACTTCCCTTCACCCCTTTCATTTGTGTATTTTTTAGTTGTGTCTTGTTTTTGCACTAAGTTCTAGACTCATCAGAAAATATAATTAATAAAATTAATAATGAATCAGAATTCCTTATTATCCAGAATGTCCATGTAGTACAACAACAACAAAAAAGTTTAACACTATCTTTTGTGACTGTTGATTGTGGGATTATTGTAGCTGTCAGGCTGTCTTGTTTGTTTTCTTTTTTCTTTCTTTCTTTTTTTTTTTTTTTAATTTTGCTTTCATCACACATTTTAGTGGCACAGTCTACAGAAAGGGCCCGCAGTGGCCAGTCTGGGCCTGCTCCACTCACTCTGCTCCTCTCAGGAGACGGACTGAATTGGGGGTGGCCGACTCCAGAGTTTTCCTTGATGGGGTCACGCTACCGGACAGAGTGTCTGAGCCCTTGCCCACCGGGCCTCGGAGGTCACACAATGCAGCTTGCAGGCGGGTCCAGAGCCAGGCGCGCTCTTCCCATTCGGAAAAGAAAGAAAACTCAGCTGTGCCTAAATATTTGCAAGGCCTGGAAGGCGATTTTTCGATTTCCTCTTACAACTTTTTTTTTTTTTCCCAAAGTATTCTTTGTTCCCCTCCCTCAAATTCGTGTCCCATTAGGCTCTGCTTCTCTGAATTGCATTTAATTATATCTTATTTGGAAAGGGGAAAGCTCTTGCTGCTGTCAGAGTTGCCGGCGCTGTTCTGTTGGTGGATGCAGTGGCGGCAGCTTCTCCCCGGGGGGCGGCGGCATTCAGGTCAAAACTGGAGAAGGAGGTGCAACACCAGAAGGGGTATCAGCCAGATGCAGCCTGCCCTCCTCGACGTCCCATTGTTCACTTCGCTGACGGCGCCAGGGCCTGTGGGGAGAGCGCATGCGTCATGAGCAGCCTGGTTTGACCTGGGACAGCATGGCCCGGTCTGCTGTCATGAAGCCTGCCCGTGATGAGACACCCTCTTACTGGGAGCCTTTGGTGTTCTGGCTCCATAGGAAGGGCTTAGAAATGCCTGCAGCTGGGCCTTCCCTGGTGGTGCAATGGGTTAAAGTGCAGCACTGCAAAGCCAGCCGCAGCTGCTTCACCATGAGTTCCATCCCCCGCCATGGAAGTGAACCACATGACGTGGCAGACCTCTCGTGTCCCACGTGTTGCTCCCCTCAGCAGTGTACTTTGTCAGTCTGCCTGTTCTACTCCCCACTCTGTCTCTGGTGAATCCCCTCACTGCGCCTGTACCCCAACTCTGTATGCATAAATAAATACATTTCTTTCTTTCTTTCTTTCTTTCTTTCTTTCTTTCTTTCTTTCTTTTTAAAGAAATTCCTGATTCCTCCCTGCTGGCATGGCGGATTGGAGCGCTGCACCTAAGCCAAGGGTGGCGGCTTCAGTGCGAGTTGGATTCCTGCCCCGGAGTTGACCCACATGCCACAGCAGACTTCCGTCTTGCCAGCTGCTCCCCTCAGCAGTGTATTTTGTCGATCTGCCTGTTCTGCTCCCCACTCTGTTTCTGGTGAATCGTCTGGCCACCCATGTACCTCTGACCTGTACCCCAGTTCTGTATGAATAAATAAATAAAATCTTAAAAAAAAAAAAAGAAAGAAAGAAAGAAAAGAAAGAAATGACTGCAGCTGCTTCAGCTGTGACCCCAAGCTGTCTAACGGGGTGGCTTCCCTTGCAAGGAAAGAACAGGAGGCTCAGGTTAAAATGTGCTGGTGACTACGGCTCCTTTAGTCTGTCCTAACATGCTAAGGTCACAGCTGAGGGTCAAGTTCAAGAAGACGGTAGCAGATTCATTAATATCCTACAAAGAACTTCAGTGAACATAAGTTTGCTCCATCATTCTCCCAATCTGAGGGTGGCCTGTCTTACATGTTCCCCAGCTGCTCACCCTGGTATTCAGGAAGAGACCTGTGAACACAGCAGTCTGCCTCCCTGCTGCTTTGTAGCACTCCATGGCCACTCTGTCAATCATTGGATCTCAGAGCAGGGCACAGGGCTTTCGCCTGCAGCACTTGGCCTCTTCCCCATCTGGACTGGGTGACAGAAGACACTGCTCAAATGTCACTTGCCTGAAGGCCAAAATCAGCCGCATGCAGTTGAGGTGGGAGCGAGTAAAGAAAAGATGGCCTTTGCTGTGCATGGGGAACCAGGGGTGACTTATGCGGACAAGAGGATGTAGACCCTGCCGTAGTATGTCTGTGGTGCGAGATATATAGCACAGTTCCCTGGGAAGTGCACGCCAACCTGGCCATTCTTTCAAATGGTGCTAAATAAAGGAGGCATGAAAACTACGAGGTTATAAAATTCCCCAGCAGCTTTCCCCCATCATTCTGAAGCATAAGCTTTCTGGTTACCTCAGCCTCATAGCCGAGAACACCCACAACAAATGGAGCTCTGACTCCTGAGAAGTATATGCAAGTTTGGATGTCTGTCTGGATGAATTAGGTAGCTAATGAAGCAGGGCACTTTCTTATACCATACTTGCTCTGCCACACTCTGTTGCCCTGGGCTTCGTGAAGTCATAAAGTGCAGTAGTTTTAAGTCCATGTCCTCACGGTGGGGGGGGGTAGGGGTGGCGGGGGGTCATGGTGTGATGGAACAAAGAGAGAACCCATTCACCTGACTTTGATGAAGCAACAGAGACCCACGTGGTGCAACACAGAATCAAACCACATGATTCCTTATGGGATGATTCCATTAAGCTCTACTACAACAGTCACAGGGGTTTACTGCTTAGAATTTTGGGTCAAAATGCAGATGATGGACAATAGCTAAAGAGCTATGAGTGTGAATTGTGCCGCATTATCCAATTTCAGGTGTCTGGTATCTGGTTCACACTTTCCCCAAGGCCAGAACTTGGTGGCAGTGCAAGAGCTCAAGAGCTAGGAACCACAAGAGATAACGGTTCTGCTCTACACTGCACAGGAAAGGGAGCTTCTGAGCAACATGAAGCTGATGGAAGGCCTCTTGGTGGAAGGCCTGCCTTCTCTCAGCCTGTGGAAAGCCTAGGTGAAAAGGGCATATTCTTAAAACATTCCTGATGACTTGCATCTCAATGTGAAGAGCTTGTAGTTCCTATTGATCATAATGTTAGTGTCATCCACAATTGCATTAACAGGTTTCCATCCAAGCCACCACCAAGAACTCCCTCTTTCTATTCAATCCCTGTTATCTACATACAGTGTTCTTTGGAATTCAGGGCGAGAAACAGCTCTCCAATGTCTTCTACACAGAGTTTATGTTTCTCTCCTGTCAGGAACCTCTTCACACTGGACCAGTCTGAGACCCTCTGTATCAAGCCCTTCTCTACACCTGAGGCTGACTCTAAGACAGAAAGGTTGCTTTTGGATCTGCTAAATCTAAGCGGCTTGTCCAACTCCATTTTATTCCTCAAGCAAGGTCAGAAGTGCCCAGTCATAGAAACCCAACCCTACAAGGTGACTTTCACATCAGTTAAGAACATAAAGCTGGGTCAGCCTGGGAAGGGTCTATATCATGACCAGGAATAGGGGAGGGGGCTGAGGACTTACTCCTGACTTATACATCCCAAGGTATGACAAACATCTGGGGGGGGGGGAGGGCGTTGACTGATGTATAACAAAGGACCCCAGAAGCTGAACAGTGGAATGCCTTATTGATAAGATTGAAATCCTGACTGGAGAGTCAGGGCTTGATCTATATACCAAGCTATCAGCAGGTGAGAAATACAGTTCCACCCTTCTGCTTCTACATCCCCCTCTCTTTTACTTCTTCCTCATATGACTAATGATGTATGACTGGTTTATCAATAAAAAGGCCAGGATCTTGCTCCTGAGCAGCATCCTGCATTATGTAGCCTGCTCCATGACTCCCGTCTCTGTCAGTGTGGCATTGCCCGATGCAACAGTGGTTTCTGAGCAAGTCTGCAAAAACCAGGCAGCTCGTTAATTCTGGGTAGGATTAGGAACTATATCCCACCTCCCTACACACACTGCAGTGATACCAGATGGGCATTGTCTCCTGGCACATGGTGCTCCTTGCCAGACAGACATCTCTTGATGAATAGCACTTTTAATCTTTTTTTCTTTTTTTTTTCTTGAACACTCACACACACAGCTTTGAAATTTACTCTCTATTCATCCCTATGGACCCTCTCTCTCACCCCCACCAACCCCTGGCCCCATGGTTAAGAAGATGCTCTGATTCTGCTGTCAAAGCTAAAGGGAACAAATGTCAACCCCAGCAGGCAGAGGATTTTTGCTTCCTCTGCCATCCCCCTTTCAGGCTGACCACCCAGTGGGTCCTTTAGGGAAGAGAACTGAGCATGCCACACACCAGGCTAACAGCCCAGCAGGGGCCTGGTTTGGTTACCATGGAAGGCAAGTCGGAAAACGTTGTTTGCAGGCCAGGAACTCTCCGGCACTACAAGGGAGGCTGCTGTGAGCTGGCAAAGAACCTGTCGCATCTCACAATGGTAACGGCTCTGTAGGAGTCCTCTGTGGGCACCTGTTCCTTCTCATTTCCAAACCCCTCAGTTTCTTTGTGGCTCTTTTCCCTGCTGGGAAGTGCCACAGAGAGCCTACAGGAAAGGGTCCTGACCTGTTGTGTCAGAAAACTCTTCCCACAGGAGAAAGTAAAGGTCGCCTGGTGTGCGAGGACCTCATCTCACCAGTGTTGATTCTGTGTCAAGCTCCATGCACTGTCCCAGGCCCACAGGGCTGGCACTCAGTGTCTGAAGCCACAAACGGCCTCCACAGCCATCTCCACATACTCTTTCTTGCACCTCATCCCACTTGCCATGTCCATGAAGCCTGACCTGGACATAACTAGACAGGAGGCAGAGGGGACCAGGGAAGTCCCTGGAGAAGTAGGGCAGGTACACTCCACCCTCCTTCTCAAGAAAGACAGTGCATTGTGCCTGTAAAACCTTCGCACCGGAGGCCCTGCTCCCTCTAGTTTGTTCTTTATGCTACTCCCAACGCGATGTTTCTACCATTTCAAAGTGAGCAAGCAACTGACTTATTTGAGTCCCACAGTCTTGAAAGAATTTGATGGCAGACACTCCCCATAGTTCATGCTGCTGGCTGTCTGTCCCTCAGCCATTCTTACTGCCATGGGTCCTTCACCTTCTTCCTGCCCCTATCTCCAAGCACAGATGTAGACACACACACCCCCACACCCCCACAAGTACACAAAGTCACAAAAGGACAACCTCCAACTATATCCACTTTTCTTTCCATTCTCACATTCTATGTCCCTCTGTGTACAACAACTTTCGCCCAACTCACTCTCACACCTTGCTCCAGGTTCTCTGGTCCAGCCTTCAATCACCTCCTCCAGGCAGCCTTCCTTGACTCCCTGCAGGCTGCTTCCAGAGCATGGTATATATCCTGCTACTAACTTCCATGCCTCCCTGTGCTAAACTCTTCTTTGTTCCTCTAACATATACATCCTCCTCTATGCTGTAAGCACCTTATGGGCAGGGTTTGTGTTTGACTTGCCCATGTCAGATATTTAATAACAATTTGTTGTAGGAAGGAGCCAGAAAAACTGTGACATGTGCTGAGATGCCCATATTTCCTTTGTCTCCAGGTTTGTCTTTCTTTTTATATTCCACTGGGAGAAAAATAAAATAAAAGCAATGGAATAAAAAAAATAAAAAACAAACAAACAAAAAACCTCTTTTCTTACCTTGTTGTCTGCTTTGCCGTGAGATTATTGGCCTTCTTTTTCTATTTCCAACACAACTGAATGACCTTTCCTCTCTTTTTCTAACCATTTCCAGTGAACATCCCTGAAAATTTCTGTGGTTGAGGGGTTGTATGTGCAGGGATAGAACCACCTGGATGAAAAAGTTGGGCAGCATGCTGCAAGGAAGGGTGTCCCAGGGCCCTAAAGACCCATGAACGTGAGAAGCGGGTAATTATCTCCTGCTCTAACATGTACAGACTCAAGCTTAGGGAACTTAAGTGACATTCCTAAGATCCCTTGACTTCTATCTCCAACTGTGATTTTCTTTCCACTAACACAGAGAGCTGCTTGTGTAACCCATGCATCTTCAGTGAGTTTATGCATCCCTCACCTGGACACTAGAATGGTACAGAGTCACACCTGCCATTCACACCGGCAGCATATGGCAGGACTCCAGGAGAGGAAGACGAGGGCCTTTTAACCAGGCAGGGTTGGCTCACCACATCCTGGATCGAGGCCTCTTAGAGACTGTGTTGGCCATGTGGTAGCTCTGCCCATGTGCCTGGTCCCCCCGGACACAGATAAGACCACTCTTCTACATCCAGCCCCACTCCTCTCTACATTGGCTGTCTTTGCTGCCTCTACCTCATTAGAGAGCTCTAGAGGCCAAAGTGACTAATTACAGGGACAGAGAGGTCCCAGAGAACTGTGAAGAGTGTCAGTTGCCCATTGGAAACATCTGGGAGGGATGAAAACCTCAAATAAGACACAATTTATTTGTAGCCAAGTGACTCACCAAGATCCGCCCCCTTCCTTTCATTTTCCCCTCTCACCCACCACTTTCCTTCCAGCTCCAAGCCAGAGAGAGAGAAAGCGAGAACAGAGTAAGCCAGGAGCAGCAGGCAAGGCCAAGGTCTAAGAAGATCGCCACATTAAAGCTTTTATGTGCAAGGAAAGAGGCAGGTCTGATGCAGAGGAGCCCAGATACAGGAGCTATTCTGGGCACTGACAGGTGCTCATTAGTGCTGCCAGCTAAGAGAAGTTAGGCTTCCGCTAGTGCAAGCTACTCAGGAGAACAGGATGTCTCCAGGGACCAGTTAATCTAAATTGACACTGGCCGGCCCAAGGTCAGGGAAGAGTCTCACTGGGCTGCTTCCCGGGGTTAGCTCAGAAGAGAAGGCATCTTGGAAGAGGGCAAAGAGTTGTACCTACCCCACCCCCACCCAGGCAGCAGCGGCCTGGAAGACAGATATACCAACCTTTCCAAGGGGTCAGAGTTGTAGTTTTCACTTCTAAAAGAAATTAAAAACAAGCCACTGTTAAGGTAGAAAAGGGTTGGGGGCACTCAGTTTGCGCTCAGCTGGTTTGGGGCACTTGCTGGCCCTCAAAGCCCAGGCCTGCCCTAGCCTCCTGCTTCCTGACCACAGCCCAGCCCTCAGCCCTCCACTTCTCTGGGAAGTCAGCTGCCTAAGGCGGTTGTTCGGGGCTGGGAAGCTTATGAAGGAAGAGAGACAACATGTTCATCTGGTCTTAGCAGGAAACCCAGGACTCTTTTGAGCCCAAGACTCCAAGCTGATCAATGTTTCTTGGTAGACCAACAGATTTTGGCCACCAGATCATCCCCTAACTAGTCAACATCTTGCAAGCCTTGAGTGTAAAATCAGCTGATACCAGTGAATGATACTATGGCAAATGGAATGCTGGTGTCGATGCTATGTTGGAGATGTTCCAAGTTTGGTCAGATGGCAGATTGCTCTGGACACTTCAGATGCTGGTGAGGGAGATCCCATGAACCTGGGACCTCTGTCTTCCACAGGGGAGTCGGATGAGAATGAGCTGCACAAGGGGAGCCACCACTGGGCAACGGAGCAGTGAGCTCTGTATCTGTTGCACTTGTACTTCCTGAGACCCCTTGTACAATTACTGGGATGCCAGCCCGTCCCTGCTTACTGCTGCATGGAAATCCCATCTCACCAACTCTCACAGGAAACCACAGAGCTATCCGTACTGCTAGCAGCAATCTCAACTGGCCTAAACAGTAAGAAGCTCCTGTCTTTTACTTCCTTCTTTAGCTAATGGTGCCTGGTATTGTTTACCTGGGTAGAGAGGTTGGAACATCCTTACACAATGTAAGCACAGATCAAATCACCACGATGGTCACCTTAAATATCAGACAATTTTATTTATAAATTATACCTCCATAGATCTGACAAAAAGAAAATGAAGTGAGACCATACTCTGCAAAAGTCCTCCCATAGAACAGGGGAGACAACTGAGATATAACTCAACTTACACTCAACTGAAACATTTGACCACCATCAATGTTGAATACGTCCTTGTGCATTCAAGCTCTCAATCTATCTTTAAAGGTGCACGAGACACAATCTACCTCTTGATTTAAGTGGGCATTAGCAATGCTAAGAAGTCATTCTGAATATATAAAAATGTATGGGGTGATCTAGCATTTGCAACTCAGAGAAGAACCAATGTAAAACAAGGAGAGGAGAGAAAGTCAAGAGTGATGGTACCGTGTGACGTGTGCATTTTGAAAGGACAGTCATTTGGGACATTTTCTGGTCCCAGAAACCAACCCAGAAGATAAGGTAGGGCTATTATTTTCATGAATTGCCTCACTTAGAACCACTGAACTGTCTCTGTCCCAAAGAGAAGGAAGGACAGTCTGAAGAGAGACTCTGAATGGGTAAAGCAGTCATAGCCATTTACCCAAACCACAAGTGGTGCAGGGGTGGGATACATCTGTGGTTCGGGAGCCCACAAAGTGGAAGGGTTGCTGCTTTCAACTCTGCTGGAGAAGGACACAGTGAAGGTTTCAACTTCATAGTTTAGCTGGTTGGAACTTTCAGAAAGAGAAATATATTGAAAGTACACTTTCCTACAGTCCTCTAAATACCTGAAGTGATTTTCATGAAGCAAAGATCTACAAATAAAGTGGGCTTCATTGTTCCTATCAAGCTATTTTTCCCAGAATCTTCAACAGGTTACTTCAAACAAGATCAACACTCTTTAACATCTGCACAAGTAAAGGACTCTGAGACTCATCCTTAACCTCTGCTAGAACTTATCCTTGGACTTTTCCAGATAGAAATGTTTCAATTCTTTAAGTACTTAAATATCTTTGACCCTTGCTTATCTCTCACCACAGTGTGGGGGGCAAGGTAGGGGGGTAATTTGCCAAGATATTCTTCATGTTCACTGTGCTAGGTACTCATGCTGCTCCTAGTCCGCCCCACAGAGTAGTGAAACTCTCATCTCTGTCATGTTTGGCAGGCTGAATCTAGTTCCTAGAAGTGTAAGCTTTGTTTTTGCCTCCACAAGGAAACCTCACCAAATGCTCAAGTTCAAGTTAACTCTTGACTATGGAGCAGGCAGACATCCTTCAAAACCCTTGTATGTATTTGCCTCACTTAACGCTTGATGGGATGTGTGAACTATCTGTTTAAATTTTAACAAGAAGAAAGGCAGAGTGGGGAAAAATCCCAATAAATAAAGGAAAGAACAAGAAAAAAGAACACCTCTCTCCAATAACTATCTGTGGTCAATCCATAAAGTGATCTACCCAAGTCCATACTTGCAATTGGAATTCCAAGCCTCAACGTAACCAAAGGGCTGTTGAGTCTCATGAGCAGAAAAGGGCTGTTTACATGTTAGGATGGGTATGCTCTTAAAAGAGGATGAGATTTACTTTTTTTTTTTTTTTTACATCTTCTATACTTAGACACATGTGACATAGAAAGAGTAACTGCTGGGTGGCTGGGCCTAATTAACAACCTTTAATCCTCTGCAGGAAGAACTGATCATCTCATCAACTGCATTTGTTTTTTTTTTCCTTTCTGATAAAGAGTTGACTTTAGTCCCCCATTATTTAATAAGTTGGTTTGATGGTCACTGGGAGTTTCACAGATATGAATCACCCAACATTTCCCAGCCCACTGAAACCATCAAATCTGACTTCATGCCTTAGAGATAAAGAACAAAGAAACTATGGATGGGAAATGAACAGCCACTGAAGTCACTGAGCTTGTAGTGTGGGTCCCTGCATGCCTGTGAGGTGTGAGGGTACATCGCTGAGTCCTTATGTATCAGGCACCACCAAATATTAATACAAGAGTGTGACATGCAGTCTGCAATCTGTTGTGTTTGCAAAAGGGGAACAGAGAAAAACTTCAAGGGTGGCAGAAAATGCTGAGGAGATATGAAATTCTCTTATCAAAGGCTTTCTAGTCCATCTAGATATTGGGTAGCAAAATAGCTTTGAACTTCTCTTAAAGCCAAGTGTTGTCTGTCAGTGGAAAGCCACAGATTCCTATAAATCTTACTTGGTATGGCTAAGATAACATGAGCATAAATTGGGGGTGGTCCCTGAGAAAATAAGTTGCTCTCAATTCATTTGGAAATTTGCAAAGATGGAGATAAAGATGAAATATGACATAGGGGAATGAGGGCAATATTTCCCCAGGTGCAAAGTCTGTTCCTTGGTTGGAGGAAAGAGACTAGTAGATGAACACTGATCCAAATCTCAGGAGGTTCATATGTCCGGAGTCTACAGATTTTGGCCCTGACTGGTTGCCCTTCCACTGAACGAAGGGGTTGAGAGCATCTTGAGCATTAGTATCAGAAGCTGGCATAGGGCACCGCTCACTTGAGTTCACTGTAAACAGCTGTAGGAAGGGAGGTGGGTAGCTTTGGCTCAGCAGGTGGGCAGGTAACATCACCTTTTACTCCTGGGCCTCTGCTGAGGGCCAGGTGGTGACGATTTTTTTTTTCTGATAGTTTATGTTGTGGACCTTGGGTGGGACAATGCTCCCTCTGTCAGGTGAGCTAAATACTCATGGAACAAATACTGATAGAGTTCAGTTAAATACTAACTGCTTAGCAACCACTACCATTTCTAAAGCTCCTATTTCCGCGAGAAAGAAGATCTAAGTGACCAGAATGTGCTTCATCACTTCTGGAAGCACATCCTAAAGTATCATCTGTCTTAGCTCCAGACTCTCACACTTCACTTTTACCATTTTTTAGCTACTTTTCTAATGCTTTCTATTTTAGATCTGTGAACATGCCTCACACCAGGGTTCAATAAACCTCAGTTGAATCATAAGATGAACCTGAGTGCATCCATTGACTGCACTTTTCCCCTTGATTTCTTTGTTTCGTTTTCCTGTGTGTGGTGCATCACCATGGTGTTCTGCATCACCAAGGTGAATAATGCAGCCCTGCATCCTTTCATGATGAAAGTATTTTTCCTGATCTGTCAAATAGCTTCCCATATAACTCATTCCTTTCATCTCCTCCAAGTCTCATGCCATCTTCCAATGATTGTTTGCTTAGCCAGATGGGAATGGATGAACGGGGTGGTGGTAGGGTGAGTGGGATGAGAAGGTTCAGGGACCAGGGTGGCAGGCAGGCAAAGCCATTCCCCTTATTGTTTTCAGAACTGCCCTGTGGTCAGCACTGACCTTAAAGGATAAAAGTAGGACAGGCAGACTCTTCTTTTATTCTGTCCCTTGGCCTGGGCCCACTTCTTCCTAAATGCTTACAAAGGGTCTTAATGAATCTCTCATGGTCGATGAGTGGGCTGTGCAAATTAAAGCAAGAAATGTAGGAGTCTGGCCCTTTGTGGTGGTGCAGCAGGTTAGGATGCAGCACTGTAAGCTAGAGACAGCTGTCCAGTGTGAGTTCGATCCCCGGGCCCCGGAGTTGATTGTGTGGTGTGGCAGACCTCTCCCGTCTCTCCCACTGCTCTCCTCAGCAGTGTACTTCATCGATTTGTCTTTTCTGCTCCCACTCAGTCTCTAGTGAATCGTCTCACTTCCCCTGCACCTCTGACCTGTACCCCAATTTGTATGCATAAATAAATAAATAAATCTTAAAAAAAAAAAAAAGAAGAAGAAGAAAGAAAGAAATGTAAGTGTCACCTACAGGGAGGGCTTGGAGTGGAAGGGGCTGCAGAGAAGAGGTCAGAAATGAGTTAATGAGCCTCTGTGATGTTACACTGATGCAAGTCCTTTCAGTTTGCAAAATGAGTCAAACTCTTCAAGCATTCTCAGTTGAATGTTGGAATAACCTTAAGGAAGAGAAGGCAGACAGTTCTGTTTTATGGGGAAAAACTGAGTTAAGGGAAGTTTGGCGATTTGTCCAAGAGCAAGGAACACTCAACATCAGGCTCTGAACTAGACGGTGGCACCGGCTCCAGTCTGCAGCTTAGTGAATGTGGCATGTCATGCTCCACCGGGCTCCCCTGCAGACCTCCTTGTGAGACAGCAGATGTACCTCAAGTTTGCTTCTATTGCTGAAGGGACATAGATAGGGCTCGATCTGAAAACTTTCTGTTAGTGGGGACTCATTCTGTTAACCTTTTGTCTTCACACAGATCTCTGGGCTTTGAGATGCTAATGATGCCTCTTTTCCTTTCCCCCCTCCCGGGAGTGTGGGCAGCAGAACAGAGCAAAGGGAGCTATCCTTGGAGTTTCACCAGTCACATCTATTACTGTCCTCTAAGCAACTGTAGAGTAGGAGCCTCAGGTAATGCACAAGGAGAAAAGGGGTTGGGGGGGGGAGCGAAGCTGAGGAAGGGAGGGGGAAACCATAAAGCAATGGGGATACTGACCTTGCAACAAAGTTGAGCTTGTAGGCTCATTTAGTTCTATATCGGGTGAGGGACATATAGGAGAGAAAACATGAAAACAAACACATATATTATATACAGTAGCTATATATTTGCCATATATAGTTTGTATAATGCCTTTCACAAACATCTCTGGAGGGATGGGTAAATAAAGACACAAAACTAAAGGTGGCAAAACAAGATGCAACATGAGAAACACTGAAAGCTTAATGTTGCCATGCCTGGGTGGGATGGTGGGCGGGTGAGCTAGTCTGTGACACCTTTCCCAGTGCAGATGGGTTAACACTTAGCTCTTGCTCTGCTGGGACACTGACTTGGCGATGAAGGACCAAGCTCCCTTTACAGATGAGATTTCTCCCCCACATCCTCAGCCCCACTGTTTCACTTGAGAGACCAAATTCAGGACTTTTGACCCCCTGATACCACAAGTGGGACCAGGTCCCCAGGGAACCGCAATGTTTCCCTCTGTGGGAGTAGCAGCCCCTGAGACCCTGTGATCTCTACAGCCTTAAGGGACCAGATGCCCAGAACTCTGTTTCTTCTTGATTAGAGGACCACCCCTGCTGGTTTGTGTATCCTCAATGACAGTGACCACCTGGGCAACCTTCCAGGCCCAGTGTTTGGTTTCCAGGTCAAGTGGAGAGCGTGCAGGATGTTCATGTCCTAATGGGTGGCAACGTGGTGATAATTTAGCTGGCTTTCTGTGCTGCTATCAGGAATGGCTTCATAACAAAATTTGCATATTCACATAAAGGTTGCTTTCTAACCTGTGCATGCTCGAGTTGAGAGATCTTTTGAGGATGAGAAATGACATGAATCATGCTTCTCATAAATGTGTATTTATCACCTTAATGATGGTGAACTTCACTCAATTAGGAATTTAGGGATGCAATGTTGTCTGGCCTGGTTGAGGCTAAAGTCGAAAAGATTAATGCTCATGTTATGTATTAATGGGATTTCACTAGCTCTGTGGAACCATGTCACCCATGAGGCATTTCTATGATGGTGTGCTTTCAAAATAATCTCTCAGCTGAGGCCACAGCATCGGTTTCTGTTTGGTTACATTTGGAAAATATTACCAGCTTTTTGATTCCTTTTCAAGTCTTAACATCCTGCAAAGCCTGGCTCTGGATGTCCTGTGTTGTTCAAGAACACTTCTGTGTACCCAATCATCGTTGTTTGACCCAGACTTTCTCAACTTATTTGAATATAGACTGTCATTTTTTAATGTAATTTTTAAAGAACACTGGACTCAAGAAAGGTGGCGACTGTTAGGAATAGCTCAAATGAACACAGTGGGGAGGCCCATGTGGAGGCAGAGGTTTTAATTGCCACACATGGGTCTGCTGAAAAGAGATCTATTCCACATGCTTCACTGCTTTCCTTGTCAGAGAAGCCAACTGTTTTGCTCTTAAAGTTTACTTTTCCCTATTCCCATCATAAGATGGTTTAAAGGGAGGAGACCAGGGAATCAGACTGAGTGATAAAGCCAACAGCAAAACCACTTTGGGCCTCCCAATCAGAGAGCAAGGAGGTTAAAAGGAGAAGTAAAAAAACAGGGTTTCTGGTGTGGAGAACAGGGCAGAGGGGGTGGGGGTGGAGGTGGGGAGCATGGGGAGCCTTACATTTGCAAGGCAAGAGAAGGAGGGGTCCCTCTCTTTGTAATCCTGGCCCTTCTGTTCCTGCAGACAGACACCTGCCAAAAAGCCAAAAAGGCCTGACAAATGTGAGGGGCAATTATGACTATCCCTCTGTGAGAGATGTCAGACGGATCCATCACTCTAATCACAGCTCTGCCCATTCTGAGCTACCAGCTCTGGGATCAAAGGCAGCCTGCCTCTTCCCAGCCCTCTTGGATAAAGCAGGGCTTTATTTATGTGCTGGGTTGAAGGTGGACAGAATGTGACTTGAAAGCAGACATGGGTCAATGGCTCAGCCAAGGTGGGCTCTTCTGGGCAAGCACAGTCCTGAGATGGAGGGGTAGGGCAGGACTTGGAGTTAACATGGAGGGTGGGGGCTCCATCTGAAAAATCCCAAGAACTTGTTGGGGTAAAGGGCTTTGTCCTTGAAACACCTGAGACTTAAGGTATGACCTGTAGGGAGAATTGCCTCTAAGGAGCAATGAGGCCATCACCACACTCTGGGAGTCTTCGTGCTGACAGGCACACCTATCCAGGCTCAGCACCAGGATGCCCTGGCATCCCAGACTCCCACAGAGCTGGCATGAATTTGTCCTTTCATTGATTCAGTGTCGTTACCAGATAGGCAATGAAAGCATAGCAATTTGCCCATAAACCCTGGTCTTTTGACAAGTAGTTGTTTAATGAATTAATGTATGAATGACTGTGTGATACTGTCAGGATGGCAGGCTTTTTGCTGGATGAATATCTTCATCCAGGCAGACAACACCCTTTGACACAAATGAAGACACAGGGGGAACCCCCACTTTCTACATCAACCCCACCTCTGAAGCGAACATTTCCTTTTTGTAAATAAAATCCAGTTTCTCTCATGTCCTGCTGGCTGGAAACAGTTTTGAAAATAGTAACACTGTACACTAATTCAGTGAACAAAGTGTTAAAGTAGTAAATGGGCTCTTTACTGGTGTGCCCATTTAGAATCCCCATGGCCAGTTTAAGAGCTATCACTGAGGAGAAAAAATGAAAAATTACTTCAACCTCCTGAAGTCCTTTCCTCCTATTTCAGGATTTTTCCATTATACAGTGAACTTTCAACATTGTTTTCTTTGTCTTGCTGTTTACTTTTATTCTTGTAGTAGACCAGTTCCCTGGCCCTCCCCTCCTCTCCCAGCTTTCTAGTTCCCCTCACTCACCCCCCGCTGTGCTGGTCCTGAGTCTCCTCTGTGGCTGCCTCTTCCTCAGAACCTCCCTCCCCCTTCTCCTACCCAGCTCCAGGCTCAGTCTTACCAAAGAGTGTGATGCTGGCATTGGTGTGGCCCAGCTTGTTGGAGGCCACACAGGTGTAGTTTCCATAGTCGTGTTCAGAGACATTGAAGAAGATGAGTTTTGAGAGGAAAGGTCTGTTTTCCACTTTGACCCCCTTCTTTCCTTCCATCAGTCTGAGACACATAAAAGAGAGGCAGAAAAGGAGAAGAAAGGCAGTGTTTACATTGTTCTCATAGGAAGAAGACAGACTCTGGAATGAATGATCTTTTCATGGCAACCTTCCTGACATCATTATTACCACCATTTTTGCTACTCATCTACACAGTAGGTTCACACACTTTCATGCACAGAAAGCATTTCCCTGTGGTTATGTGTGTGCCTAGAGCTAGGCCCATAGATACTCATCTTCCTATATATATTTAAGTTCTCTGAAGGCAGGTGCCTTCAACCAGTATACTGGGCCAGCCATGTGACATTAAAATAATACTATTTACACAGTAGGTGCTCAAACTTGTGGACTTAATTGGCATTGATGATGGTGATAGAAGATGGTGATGGTGATGATGATAACAGCCATGGCAAGGAAAAACTCACTCTTCAGAGAGAAGAATAACCCGAGGGGGTTGAAACACAATGATTTTCAAGCACCTGGGTACTCAAATTTCCCCTTAGGAACTTGAATCATTTTGCAGTAATACCTTACTTTTGCTATAAATAGGAAAAAAGAAACAGGGCTTGTTTTTGCTTGACGCTGGGGCCTCTGAAGTGCTTGGGGGAGGAGACTTAAACAGAGTGTCCTTCTGGAGGAGGTTATAGGCTTCAAAGACTATAACTCCATAGACTTAAGACAGTGCCCCGAGTGACTCATATTCCACAAATGTTCATATTGGTGTGAAGGGATACTGAAGAAATACTCCAGATAGTGGGGGAAATTGTCAGACAACCATGGGTTCCATTATGCATGGACAGAGGAAGGAGAAAGTTGCTCTTGGGGTTGGAAGGGCCATTCCCTCTGTCTTAGGAGGTTGTTAGCAGTGATTCCTATTACAATTACATGCATAGAAACTATATGCCCAACTCTCCCTTTTAGAAACTCTGGGATTCTCTGTTTCAGAGAATGGGCTTTGAGCCATCTTCTACTTTCCCTGAAACAATCTGCCTTCTATGCCCAGAAGTTGAGTCTGTGCTACGAGAAGTAGAAATGCTAGTGGGGTTGGGGGTGGGGTGGGGGGTCAATGCTCTGAATGGAAGATCCTGAGGTCACAGACTTCAGCTTCTGATGAAGACCTGGCTGGAGCAGGATTCATGGAAAATCAACATTCAGGTGGGCACATAATACAGCAGGCTCAGGGGGTTTTGTGCCAGGACAAATGGCTGACATCTTAGTCATCAAATTGAGAAAGGAAATTCTCAGGCAGAATTTGGAAGCCTAGTAAGACAATGATGAGAAAATGCTTTATGAACTATAAAGTGTTACTCCAGGTGATGTGATTGTATGGAGACAGATGTTGAGAACACGGCCTGCCCCTGGGGCACAGAACACTTAGGTCCAGAGGGCAGCTGCTGTGTCAGTATCTGAAGGTGTTATCTCCTCTTGAGTCAGAAAGGTCCTCTCTGCCACCAACGCTTATGCAAACCATGATCCAAAGAGAAAGTCAGCCTCTGACTTCCAGTCTCACGCAACATCTGTCTTCAGGGACATTAGAAGGTTATTCGGAGGAACTAAAGTTGCGTTTCAATATGTAGCTTTTCCCTCTGGGAGCATCTTTTCCTCTTTAGCTAGGGGCAGTGAACTGGCCCGAGTCCATGAACTTCATTAAAATGAGCACACTGTCCTTAAGGAAGGAGGTGTCCGGCTGTGTGACCAAATGCCACCTTCCTACTTCCAACTTGCTTTGCAGATATTGATGCTTTGGGGGTGCTGCCCAAAGAAGACACCCCCATCCACCCTCCGGGAGGCTTCCTTCCATGAGCCCCTCCAGCGTACTGATGCCAGTTGCCATCGTGACGCCATTCCTGGGCTGGGGAGGAAGCCTTCACGTGCGAACCAAGCTGTGAATTAGATTTCTGCTCAGCACTGGGGAGGGACACTCCGCGAAGCCGGCTCCTGTTTGGCAGCTCTGAAATGTCTTTAGCTAAAAGGAGCGCAGGGTGGCCAGCGGCACTTCGCAGCACTTTGCAGCTTCTGGGACGACACACTTGCCTTTTCTCCATGTGGTCGCACATTTCCTTACCCCATACAGCTCGAGATTTCAATTTCTTTTTTAAAGATTTATTTATTTATGCATTAAAGAACTGGGGTACAGGCCAGGGGTATGGGGTAGGGGGAGTGTGTGAGAGGCTTCACCAGAGACAGAATGGAGAGAAGAAACACACTGCTGAGGGGAGCAGCAGGTGAGACAGGAGAGGTCTGCTGCATCATGTGGTCACCTCCCTGGCTGGGGATTGAACTTGTGCTGTAGTAGCTGCAGACAGGTTGGTAGTGCTGAGACTTAACCCCATGCACCACTAGGAAGGCCTAAGTGACTTCAGTTTCTTTATGAAACTCTAGGCTTTTCACTGGCCCCTGTCCCCAAAGAGGGTGGCCCTGGTTAAGCACAGGCTCCTAGTTCTTCTCCTTTGAAACATACACACAGTGAACTACAGCTGGTGGATGCTAGTGCTTTGCTAGAAGAGACCTCTTGGCTGAATTTGGAGTAAACTGCCTGCCCCACAGCAGACTTCTTCATTTGGGTCAGAATTCCTCTCCTCTCACCTAGGAAGTGAGCTGACTAGGAGCTGATATCCCCCCAGGCAGATGCAATATACCTCCTAGACCTGCTGGGAGGAGGTTCCTGGGCAACCTCTGTGCCACAGGATGGCCAGGTGGCCAGAAGGACTCAGGGTAGAGACCCTGAAGTGGTGTCAGGACACAGCACTGGTCATGGAGACTCAGGAAATACATACGTGAGCAGTAAGTGCAACTGACCAGGTGAATTCAATCAGAGAAGGCATCTCCATGAGAAGAACTCAGATGAAGGAGCATCTCCCAAATGTCCGAGTCATGGCCTCTGCACACCCCCAGACCCTCCAGACCCTCCTTTTCTCCATGGGTTTGCAGAGCCTGACCACTAAGTGTGGAGCGCAGCTGGGAAAACCCAGTGTCCTTGCAAAGCTCTGTTCTTGTCTGTATCACTGCTGTTTCTGCACGGCAGAAACTTTCTACTTTCCCCCACATGTTCTAAGATCTCACCTTCCACTTCACTTGCTTGCATATTTTCTTCCTTAAGGAATTAGAAATATAATATGCTGATGAATTTTCAGAAATAGACAGTTAAAGTTTCAGGAACTGACACTGCAGCTCATTTGTGTGTGTGTGTGTGTGTGTGTGTGTGTGTGTGTTCTGATACTAGAGTCTCAAACCTTAGTTTTTATCGAATATAATAAGAAGGGAGGAAGGGGTATTTTGCAGAAATGCCACATATTTAAAAAGAAAGCCAGGCTTATTTGTAGAGACAGTACAATTGTTTGCCTCTGTGTTCTTGAGGAGGGAGAGGATAGCAGCTATTTTTCATTTCTTTATGGGTTTGCACCTCATAGTCTGTTTTCATCCTACTATCTATGAAATGGGCTACATGAATACATTACAGCTCACTAAGATGTTGTCAGAATGCATGTCAGGGCCTCCCTGGTGGCCTAGGGTTAAGTCTCAGTGCCATCCCTGTGAAGGCCTGAGTTCGATCCCCAGCCAAGGAGGTGACCCACATGGAGCAGCAGACCTCTTCTATCTCACCAGCTGCTCCCCTCAGCAGTGCATTTCAGTAGATATGTTTGTTCTGATCCTCACTCTGTGTCTGGTGAATCCTCTAACCACTGTATCTCTGGCCTGTACACCCCGTTCTTAGAACAAAAAGAAAGAAAAAAACAAAACAAAGCAAAAAAGAAAGAAAAATAATGTACTTAAAATTGAGAAAGTGCTGCTTCTCATTTGGGAGGATTCTGAGGAGACATGGTGAATCTTAGGGTGAGATGACATGATTGATTTGAGACAGGGCAAGTTTTGATGACTTGATCGACCTCATAAAGAACGAAAACTAAAGCACACCTAAGCTACTCTAAACAGAAGGGGCACTCGTGGGGTGACCCTTGGCTGAGGGCTCTTCACACTGCTCTCCTGTTTGTACCCTCTTCACACCTTCCCTTTCTCAGCCTCTCCTGCTCCATCACGCCTGCCTGCTCTGCAACCCACAGAACTCAGGAGTTGTGGGGACCCCCCCAATCCATTTTTATGAAAGTGTTCTGAACATGGACAGCTCTTGCTCATTTCTTTGTTGTTCACCCACCTTAAAATAGCTCTTTGATAACAGTAATTGTCATGTTGCCTGACTGTACTGAGCTGCTGAACCCTGTGCTGACGAGCCATTTGGTGACTCCTCGCAATGACAATCTGCAGTGAATCACAACAAATACTCCGACTCTGGCTGCAATAATGAGAGAAGGGAAGAGTCCCTTTCTCTTTTCTCCTACAGAGAAAGAACTACCTGGGCACAAAGGAGGGCTCGGCTGGGTCACCGGCTTTTTTCTACACCACCACTGACTGCGTCTAGAACTGAAGTGGAGACAGCCGGGCAAGCTCCGGCTAACTTGTTAGCCACAGCCAGTGCCCGTCAGCACCCCTGATGCCTTAATGCAAACCTGAGAATGTGTTAAAAATAGCGTCAGGCAGAACACACTATTTTCTTGACCTAGAAAAAAATCCACAGTCCTGTCAATGTTCCTGGTAGCCTTACCATGGAGATTTTGCCTTTCTTAAAAAAAAAAAAAAGTTTTCTCTCAGGTCTGTTGTTTGTTGAGTAATAATTCTGAATAGCAACATTCACAACAAAGCTGAAAGGCATTAATATTAAGAAGGAACTAATTTGCACATTATTTGTCTCTAGAAAAAGGAAGAGAGGGGAGAGGATTTTTCTGGCATTCATTTGCAATTATCTAGAATCAGGAAAAGCTCCCTTTGGGGGGGGTGGGGGGAGGAGGGGAAGCCTTTACCTTTTGTCATCCTTGTACCACTGGAATTCTGCAGAGGGGACTGCTGAGGCTTCACACTGCAGTGTCCCCTTCTGTCCCACGGGGACACCTGTACCCTTAGCTTCTGAAATGTATGGTGGATCTGTAGAGAGAAAATATTCTGTAGCAATTTAAAATGCATTCTAGAAGAAGACAGGCTGCCTCCTTCACTGATTGTATTTTCCCCTCATTGATGCACCTCTGCTTACTTGAGCTGACAAATTGCTATACAAATTGTGCCAGAGAATAAAGGTACTCAACATTGTTCTAAGGAAAAGCTTAGTCTTCCTAGTATTTATTGTTTCTGTTCTCCACTGTGCAGAGATGGAATGGCCAGACATTCAGGCATATTTGCTGTTTAAACTTTTTAACTTTCATAGGAGGATGCCAAGCCATCAACCCTACACCCCATATGTTGACAGGCAGCACCTTTAATCAACCTTATAGAATTTCTGCACACTACTTCTTGCCAGAGTATATAACCTCAGACTATTCAATTCCCATCAAAAGTTCAATTGCAAGAAATAATATTCATGGAGAATTGCCTGAAGGATATACAGATCAGTCATTCTTCTAGGTATTCTAAAATGGGTCCCTGAATCAAGCCAGACCAAAATAGACCTACATACTTGGCCTGCATTTATCTGAAGTCTTTACCAACCAGTTCCTATAGCTTACAGTGAAGTGCATTATGAGGAATAGCCGTAATAAACTTACTATTCTGTTTATTGCAGAAATATCACATGTAATATTGACTACCCCTCATTTGTGTGAGATACATTCCAAGACCCCATGTGGATGCCTGAAACCACAGACAGGGCTGAATCCTGTATCTTTATACTGTTTCCTTCCCCTACATACCCATGACAAAGTATAGTTTATACATTCCAGCACAGTAAGAAATAAAGAACAATAACAGATGATAAATTAGAGCAATTAAACAATACAGTATAGTAAAAGTTACATTAATGTGGTCTCTCACTCTCTCTGTCTTTCAAAACAGTTTATTGTATGTCATATTTTCAGACTGTGGGTAGCTGAAGCCATGGAAAGTGACACTGCTAATAAGGGGGTACTATCATACCTCGGAGAATTCTATTCATGGGGAACCTACACAGAAATCGCTCTTGGATCTCATTGCCAGCAAAAGTGTTTCTCCCAAGCAATTAGTTTGATTTTGTGTTATGTAATAAATGCTAATGTTGTTTCCATTCTTTGCTTTAGCAACCCCAAGCCAAATTCAGTATTTATCACTGATAGTATCTATTTTCATCCACAGATATATCCTTGGTTTTCACTTGTTTTTCTTTTGCTCGTATTTCCTTATTCTCTAGGCTAAACTTCATTAACTGTAGAAAAGTCCCTTCTTTGAAAAAAAAAAAAAATGTGGTGGCATTCTTAAAATGGTAGCCGGATTATTACCTGCTTCCTTGCATCTTAAAGAGGTGTGACTTCATTAGTTTCGAATTGTAACAGAGACCAAAATATTCAAGAGTGATTAATCACCCACATTTCTCCCTTCACTCCAGTCAAGATTTAAAAGAGAACGTTTCCTTGTCTGCTGGTATGGTCCTTGGGTTTACTCTCTTGGACTTCTTGGAAAAGGCACAGAAAAGACCACTTTCAGAGCGTTATGGAGAACTGAGTATAGTGAGGGACCAGAGCCAGGAGGAAAGGGAAAAGGAAACGATGTTGGATGTCGGAGAAAACTAGGACTTGGCAATGACGTCAAGAGCAATGACCTGCACGTGTTTGGGATTCTGTACTTTTGTTAGTACACATCAGGTTTTGAGTTATGCTGTCTAACATGTGTATGTCTATTTAAATTTAAATTATGAATGTGCATCATATAGAATTGCAAAACATATATAATTGTAAAAGGATGACATGAAATGAATACACCATAAATAGAAATTGCAATATTTCCTGCGTACACATGCATTTGTTTTGCAACCCAATATGGAGATGACTGATTTAGACAGTGAGAAGCTTGGGGACATGAACAGTAAAATATGAGGGAAATTGAAATTTGAACACATTTATATAAATTATGCATTGAATGCCATTTAATGATATTCCAGAACTATAACTCAGGTTTGGGATTATATTAAATTGCAGCTATAATTCTTTTCTTTTCTTTTTTTTTAAACCGGAGTTTGGAATTGTCACTTTTGCAAGCAGGGCATGGGCAATGACGTTGCACGATTTCGACCTAGTGTCAGCAGTGGGTTAGCCCACTGGCTCAGCGCTGTGGCCGGGACAACCCCGTCTCCTGCACATGAAGGAGGCGGTTGGCGCCCACTCACAGTTCACGGTGACCTTGACTCTCCGGACCACTGGTGCAGCCACGTCATTCGAAGCACTGCACTCGTAGTCCCCCGACTGCTCCCGGGTGATGCCCTGGATCTCCAAGTATTCATCTTCACTCACAAAGCCCACAGCTGCAGAACACGGTGGAGGAAATGGGAGAAAAACACCAACAATAAAAAACTTAGAAACTTAGATCAAAGCATCAGATGGTTATTATACCTGTCGAGCATTTTGTCACTTCCTAAATTCAGATTCGCAGGGCTTATGCCAATTCCCCGCCCCCTCGCCGCTGTTGAAAAAAATCCCCAATTTGTCCTCATTCCCCCCTGGGCCTTCTGAAATGTCTGTGTTCCTACTTGGACTAAGCACCATAAGTGATTAATAATTTTGACATTTACACTGCCCAGATCTTACCAAACAGTCCCAGTACTGGGACCTGAGTTAGGCACCTTTGATGAATATTAACTCTTTATGATTTCAAGGTATGATTTGGACTGCCTGCCTGGTATATATATATACCATAATGGGCCTCTCCCTGGTAGCACACTGCTGAAAGCAGGGCAGTATGAAGCTCTCTGAAGCCACTGCAGCATGAATTGGATCCCAGGCCAGGGAGTTGACCCACATGGCACAGCAGACCTCTCCTGTCTCACCCACCGCTCCCCTCAGCAGTGTGTTTCAGTAGATCTGCCTGTTCTGCTCCCCACTCTGTCTCTGGTGAATCCTCTCATTGTCCCTGCACCTCTGGCCGGTACCCAGTCTGTAAGCATGAATACAATCTTCAAAAAAAAAAAAAAAATACACATAAGCTACACAATGCAGTGGAGACACTAATAAAAATACACTTACCTATGTGATTTTAGAGTTAGGCAATCAATTAGATAGGCAGAACCCATTGTATAAGTTTTGATCTGCAAAAGTATTTGGGCAGAAGAAACCTGAAGGCTAATCAGCAATGGACACTCTACCCCTAACCTCAGATGCTGCAGGAAGTAAAGCACGAGACTCATCATCTTATTGTCACCTCTTCATCCTGGCATTCCGTTTCTTTAGTGAAAGATTGTGAATACTATCAATCTTCTATCTACTGGATTTCCTATCTGAGGTCTGTCTAGGAACCTTTGATTACGGAAAGACCATGTCATAAAAACCCCAATAAGGGGTCATATGATTTTCCCCTTCCTTGCAAGTCAATGGGGAAAAAGTTACTGCATACATTCTGGGCTATCCTGCCACCTGTGTTGCAAAAGAACAATTAGCTTGACAATATATTTTATCATGCACATTACTTTTAAGAGTAAAAAGGGGGTGCTAGTGATAATTATTATGGGGTGACTTGAATTTGTTGAGATTGCCCCTAACATCTGAAACACTTCTTCCCAGGCATAATATCTATACAGTCTTAATATCTCACAGAAGGGCTTAAGTAGCAAACGACAAAATATGCATGAAAGCATGTTCATGTGCCACACACCTGTTGCTTTATTGTTAGTAATCCTGTAATCTGTCTGGAGGCACTGATTCAGATGCAACAAAGTGATATCTTGAGTGATACCAGAAGGGGGATAAACTCACATTTCTCTCCAGGTGAGATGTCTCCCAGCCCTCATAACTGTGTGCATATATGTGCATATATATACTGGTCCCAAGTATGAAGATGAATTAGTAAGAAATTATTAATACAAATAATGAGGTCTATGTATGACATATGTGTATGTAAATTCTGATTGTAAATTTTCTGAGACATTATTTAAGTCACTATTTTTCTTTTTGTTAAGAGAATAAAAAAATCAATAACAATAATAATTACAAGATGACAGTATTGTAACTAAGGACCACTAACTCTTCAAATCCTCTGTGATTCCTTGCGCCTCAAAAGAAAGTAACAAATCCAGACTGTGCATGTCCTCACATTTCTTTATAACATATGGAACTCTTCAATGTACAGTCGGAAATTTTACATTCTCTTACTCTTTTCTGTTTACCAACAGAAAAGCAGATCAGACTTTATCTGCTTTATAGTAAAAGTTATCACATTCACTAAAAGAATCAGGGGTATATTAAAAAGCACAAAACAAAAAACTTTTGGTTTTTAGCATTTTGAGTAGATAATTAGCATTAACCCACAAAAAGTCATAATCTCAACCAGTAAGAAACTTCTAGAAACCTTTATTATCATTTTCTAATTATGATGGGTGGGTATGTTAGACTTGATGTGAGAAAGGGTGGAGGAAATGAAAAGAGTTTTAAATGAAGAATTTGTAATTTTTTTTATGTTGTCATTGTTTATTTGCTACCAACTTGGAGTCTATATTCATCAGATCTTCCCCCGATAGAATGTTATAATTACTGTGCAAAGCATCTCAGAGACCAGTGTCACACTTAATATTCCCATTAATTTTAAATGGTAGTCCTTGGTACATATGTGTGGCAATTGGTGTCATATTTTAATTAGGCTTGCCCTACACCATCTGAAATTAATAATAGCTCGAATTACCAGTGTAATTTATAAATTAACAGTGCCGTTGCATTAGGAAATAAATTAGCTCTGGACAGCTGTTTCTGGATTGAGCTCCAGTATCATAGCAGTGACTGGTAAGACCTCAGCTCTCCTAAGAGGCTGTATACTACACTATCAAAGTAGCAAATAAAAAGACATAGGGTTATCTGGGTCTCCTGTTCTTCTTTTCTACTAAACATCATCCATCCATTCCATCTTTACCATCCAAACTTGCTCTTTTGTGATCACAGTAAATGATACAAGGACCAAGCTTTGTTGAGTGTTTGGTCATTCTGATGGAGGAGTAGGTGGAGGGTGGAGGGGAAATCACAGTCAAAGACTAAAATGCAAGTCCCAAAATATTAGGGTAATCACTAACAAGAAGGCATCATATTTTCAGGGGGAGAGGACATATGTATCAGTATAATTTTGTATATTAACATCAATGAAACATATGCGGTGAAAGAAGAGGGTGACTTAAAATGTCAAGAAAATATGTTTTTTATTGATCCAGACTTTTATTACCAGAGGTGCATTTACATTTAAGTCATCCTACAAAAAACAAGACTGAATTTTACTATCAGTTGTCCCCCAGAGCAAATTTATCATTAAATTATAGAGAAAACAACTACCCCATTGTTTACCATTTTATATATATATATATATATATATATATATATATATATATATATATTACACTGGATAAAGGGAAATTAACTCATATATATTAAAATACATTATAAATTTTGGCTTTCATTGTCATTATTTTTCTCTGTTGTTTTATACATGGTAAAACCAGAAAGATCATCTGTGTACACATACCATACATTTTGAATCACCAGAAATGAAGCTCCATAGGGGATTCTGAAAACAAACCAAATCCCCAAATCCCATTAAACTAAAATCTGAAATTTTAATGATTTGAGGACAGATTTCCTTTAACAGCATTTGAGTTCTGGTTATAAAATGAACAATGTTTTGTTATTAATACAAAGAACTCAAAGTTTTGGAAGAAAAAAAAAGACCCAATTACCAGCATATATTTTTCAAAATGCTAAAGGAAATTCTTGGTGAAGAGTTACTAGGGAGTGGGAGCAAATCACTTGATAAAATCTTCTGAAAATAAACTCTTTGTGGTCAATGGCTTCTCATTTATAAGTCTGCTTTTACCTTTGAGAAAAAAAAATATATCTTTGGTGGAAATGATATGCTCATCTTCCTAAAACATCCCCTTCATCATGTCACACCTCTCTAGACACTAAAATGGCTCTCTATTTTCTGTAACATCAAACACTAACTCCACTGCCTTATCAAAGCCCTTCCTAAAGTTGCCCTGATCTACTCATCCAAATCTATCTCCCATTAGTGCTGTGTGGAACATAACAGATTACCATGGTAAAGAACAAATGTTTGGGATCAAACTCAATCCTCTATCTGCAAGTTTCTGATGTGTTAAGTGACCTAATTCCTGTGGGCCACCCTGTCTATATCTGCACCATTCAGTTAAGATAATGTTATTTCCTACTAGTGGTTCCATTAGGATGAAATACAGCAAATGGAAAAGGTAGTTAGTACAGAAAACTTCCCCTGGTGTTCACTACTGTAGTCATCAACACTGTCACCAACACCAGTGACACCACCCTTACCATAGCTCTTAACCAGGCTAGGTTGATTGTCATCTTGGATAAACATGATTCCTTTTTCACAAAATCACTTCTACTGCTTAAAAGCTATGTCATTTTTTCTACCAAGGCAAACACTTCTTAACTTTCAAATACCAATTTTCCATGAACATTTTCTGTAATGGGTTGAATTGTGTTTCCTGCTCCTCCTCCCAAAAAATATGCCAGAGTTATGACAAGAATAACTCAAAATGTGACCTTAATTTGGAAATGAGGCCATTACAAAGGTAGTCTTGCTTAAATGAGGTATTAGGGTGGAAGTTAGCACCCCCACCCCCAACATTTAGTGCCCTTATGAGAATTGGACATAGGTAGACATGCAAAAAGTGAAGACATTGTGAAGACTGACAGGGAAAAGATAGCCATGGGACTGGAATGATGTACTTAAAGGAAAGGATGACTCCAAACAAAGCCCAGCAAACTTCAGAAGCTGGAACAGGCAAAGAAATGTTTCCCTTTCTTTGTCAGAGACAACATGGACCCACTGATACCTTGATTTTTGGACTCCAGTATTGAGAACTGTGAGGCAAGACATTTCAGATTTTTTTAAAGCCATCCAGCCTTTTGGGCTTTACTATGACCACTTTAGGAAGCCAATACACCCCCTTTATTTTCTAACCTTCAATGTCTGTAGATATTCTACATGTTTGATGCAGGTAGAGACCAGCTAGTCTTTAAAATAATAAACTGATCAATCCAAAGAACATGCATATAATTCAATAATTCCTGCTCTATAGCATGATAGAACCTCAGTAGAATTTCCTAGAGTACTTTCTTAGATACAGATTTCTAGATCCCACCAGAAATCAGATTCTCCTGAACTGAGTTTTAATAATCTTAGCAGAAAATTTTCAGGTATAGCCAAATTTGGGATTAGTGAATTACTAATGTGGGAAATCAAAGCTTAGGCAAGCGGTCTAGTTGGTGAACAGAGAACACCTGGTTTCTC